TTCTGGTGGGTCACAAATAGAAACACCAGCAGATTTGGGTAGGTTAGCAGGCCTAATTTAAACAACCACGGCAAAAGAGACGAGCCACTGACATTAATCACCAAAATAAAAAAAACTGTACTGGCAAAGATACAACAAATAAGTCAATACCTTAGATTTCCAGGACACAATTTAAAAGTTTTCTTGGTTTTTCAGCATCAATTTTTTACTGGGTACTTGAACTATTCTTATCATAACCATTTTCATTATGATAATATTATATATATGTTGAACAAAGACTCATCACTACTCCTAAACTTGTAGTCCAAGCTTTTTCTATGCCACATGCCAATATTTTTCTATGAAAATTTAATTTTGGAAAGAAGTCTTGGGTAAAACAATTTCAGAATGACTTAATAAGTAAAATACATTTTACTTATTAAAAATTAAAAATAAAATACAGGTTTTGAAAAAAAGAAGGGAGAAGGTTTCAGTTAAAAATAGTTTTTTAACCACATTCTCACCACGATGCATTTTAGAAGAAGCATTATCTGTGGTACAAGTGGCAACAAACAGTAATGAATGTTGTGAGGTATGAGTAAATCTAAACAGGCACCAATGTATAAAATGTTAGAGAAGGCTGCACGATATTAAAAATACAACAGTTGAGAATGAAAATGCCATTCAAGTCAGGAGAGAATCATCAGAGGTGAACACTGTGAGATTCCTGCATTCTCTGGAATGTGGACAGAGTACTGACTAATTCTGGACCTTGATAAATTAAGCCTACATATAAGACAAACACAAACAATAAGAGAAACTGAAATTATACAGTGAAGGAGAAAACTGATGAGTAAAACAGTCATCTGTAAATCAAAAGAAGGGAAGAAAGAAAAAATAAGACAGTTGAGCTAAATAGAAAGTCCAAAATAAAGTGGTAGAATGCAGTCCAAATTACAAGTAATTAAAATAAATGAAAGTAAAGTAAATGTTCTAGTCTTTAAAAGGCAAAGATTGTCAGGAAGGATAAAACAAAAATCCATTACATCCCATTTTAAAAGATTCACTAAAACATAACTCAGATACAGAGATACTGAGAAAAGGGGAAAGAAAAATATATACTAGGCAAATACATCAGACAAAGTTTGCTTTAAAACAAGAAGCACTAGCAGAGATAGACTACCTTACATAAAGATTAAAAAGTTCAATTTATCAGCAAGATACTACAACAATTCTAAACTTACATAGACCTAAGAGCAAAAATGAACAGAAATATAAGAAAATAGGCAAATCAATTAATCCAATCATACCAGCATATGTGAACACAACTGTCATAGTGGCTGATGTATCAGTTGGAGAAACATTTTTCTTTTCTTTTTTTTATTTTTTGGAGACGGGGTCTTGCTCTGTCACCCAGGCTGTCATGCAGTGGTACGATCATAGCTCACTACAGCCTCGACCCTCCTGGGCTCAAGGATCTTCTTGAGCTCTTGAGCAGCTAGGACTACAGGTGCACACCACCATGCTCAGCTAATTTTTTTTTTTTTTTTTTAAATTTTTGGAGAGACAGGGTTGCTATGTTGCCTAGGTTTGTCTCGAACTCCTGGCCTCAAGCAACCCTCTCACCTTCAACCTCCCAAAATGCTGAGATTACAGGAGGGTGCCACAAAGAAAAATATCTATGAGGACAGAGAAGACAAGATTATTAAGCTTCACTTAATGGCCATATACAGAAAGCGTATATTCAAAATTGTAGAAAAGATTCCACTCTCAGATACACAGGTCATTTATGATACGTGACCATATGTGAGCTGCCCTTTGACTACAAACACAAAGATCACCTGGTCCACAATGCAGTGAACTTAGAAACTAAAACACTTAAAATTATTTATATATAAATGTATATTTTTACATGGATTTTAAAGCTCTGTGTATTTGGAATTGAGAAATACTTCTAAGTAACTCATAAGCCAAAAAAGGAGTCACAGTAGAAACAAGATAACATTTATAAGTTAAGGATAATAAAAGTACTATATATCTAAATCTATGCACTGCAACATACTTTGAGGGAAATGTACAACTTTAAATGCTTATCTACATTTTTAAAAAGCTGAATATCAATGAGCAAACATCCAACATAAATTTGAAAAAGAACAGAAACATGAACTGGAAAAAAACAAAAGGAAGAAATAAAAACATAAATTAATGAAGCAGAAAAATATCCCATAGAAAAAAATCAACAATTGAAAAATTCATGAAAATAAACTAATAAAAAATTAAACTACACAAGTACTAGAATAAAACATGAGTGATTTCCTCTTTAATCTGGGTGTAGAAAAGGCTTTCTAATTGTGAATTAAAAATCTAGATAAAAGACAGATAAATTTGACTATAAAAATTAAAAAATCCTTGGCACAGCAAAATGACATGAAAAAATTTGACAGAAATACTAAATGGAAGAAAATATTTGCAATGTATTCCACAGTAAAATAAATAATATCCCTAAGATACCAATAAATAAATAAATGTTTAAATTGAGGGGACAAAAAAGACCAAAAACTGTGTAGAAAAATGTATAAAATACATGAAAAGAGACATAAAAATGTCCTTAAACATATAAAAAGATGTTCTACTTCACTCACAAGAAGAGAAATGCAAATTAAAACTACACTGAGCTACACTGTTCAGGCATCACTTTGGCAAAAATTCATGAGCTGAAGAACAGACCCCATGGTGTGGCTGTGGGTGGTGAGGGCGGTGGCCACCCCTTGACGGGGATTTGCAACTGTCTAACTGAAGTAGGAGCACTGAGCACTGCCACGGAACCCAACTATCACACCGCTAAGGCCTTTCCAGGAGATACAGTCACACAAATACAAATGCACAAGGCTATTCACCACTGCAATGTGTGTAACTGCAAAATATCATAAACTACGTCATCATCCCACCATCACGAAACCCAAACGAGGATGCAGCACTGGGCAGCAGAGGAAGCAAAAGGAAGAATGAGGACGATCACTCCGCCCTGGTACGGGGCGACTCCAGGGATGCTGTTTAATAGAAAACACAAAGTACAAAAAGGGAGATGTATGGTGGCATGGCACTGTGAATGTAATTAATGCCACTGAATTATACACTTAAAAACAGCTAAAATAGCAAATGTAATGTTATATTCATTTACAATAAAAATAGTAAAAAGAGAACATATGTAGCAAGATACATTATGTACATTTTAGGTGAGAAAGAAGAGAAACAGAAAACATACATATGGAGGGCTAATTGTAAAAATGTGTTTGCCTAGAGGTATGCCAGCAAACGTTTAACAAACAGCTCCTGGGGTGGGAGGGGGGACCCGGCCTGTAGTGTTTGCCAGTTTCTTTCCATGTGCAAACCCTCCCACTATGGGCGATTGCCAACCTACTGCCATAATGTCACTAAACACAGAACTGGGAAGAGATGTGCAGCTCCAGGAGCTGGTGAGAGACCACCTTGGAACATCACTGTCATGTACAAGGCGTGGGGATAACAGGAAGAGAAAGGACATTGTGGGACTCGTCTGTTTTATACACGCAGATATATGCATGTATATGTGCATATATACACACACACACACACACTTACATGCATGTATATTTACACAGAGGTGTGTATGTGTACATGCACGTACTTCCCAGCTCTGACCCCTAACAGTGTTAGAAGCAAAGACATCTGACAGCAATAAGCCTATCTCGTACCCAGACATTGTTCCTTGGTAACATTTTCACACTACAAAAACTAGAGCCCTTCGAACATCTATCTGGTGGACTCCAGGGCTGGGTAGGTTAGGTACAAGATGGACCTGAAACATTATATGGAAAAGTTAGGAAACTGTTTCTTTAAATGAGGCAGATGGTAGCAGGAAGAGAAAGGAAGCTGGGAACTAAAGAGGGAAGGAACCGGGAACTGGTCTGGTGGGCTCCCACTGATCAAATCTAAGAGAATTTGAGCACAAAATCCTCAAGGACAGTGATGAATGAGACACTAGGACAGCGGTGAATTAAGACACAGGAGTCCAGGACAAGAAGTTGGTAAGAGATGAACAGATAAGCAAATGGGGAAGAAGGGAGGGGCCTGCTCCCAGCAGATAGCTAAGTCTGCACGGGAGCTGCACAAGCGCCACTTACAGCCATCACAGTAAAGACGGGTCTAGGCAGAAACCAACCACGGCTAAGTCCAGGGGAAATGTCACGAGATGTAGGATTTCCACATGGTCTTCCAGGAGCTTCCTGCAGATGGTTTATTAGTCATGAGTGGTAACCAAAGTCGGGAGAAGCCAAACAGCTCTGCAGTGAGTCAGCAACCTCACGCCCCAAGGTGGGGCACAGGGTTGCTCTGCACCTGGCGAGGTGAGGCCCTGAGGAAGCACAATCCCATGGAGGCAGGCACCAGCCAAGCGTGCACCACTGAATCCTATCACAGGAGTCCCCGGACACGCCCCAAAGGAGGAAACGTCTACTTATTAAAAGAGACTATTTTTCAAAACGTCAATGTCATGAAAGTCACAGAAAGGCTGTGGAAAATGTTCCTGATTGACAGAGACGACAGACACACAAGTAGATGCCAACACCTGATCCCAGACCATATCCTGTGCTGCAGGGAAAACAATATAAAAGACATTACTGAGGGAACTGGAAATACTGGGGGTGTAGCATTAAGATGGGTTTTGTAAAATGGTGCTGTGGTGATGAGAGGACACCCCTATGCCCAGGAAACAGCACCTCTCCACCCTCCAAATAACTCTCTTGACTCCTCAGGGACCAATGTCTAGCAGCACCCACGTGCTCTCTGTCTCTTAATTTTCAAAGTTTCTCTACTAACTCATTTTCAGGCTTTAAACACAACCAAGTAGCTAATACTAAAGATGCAACCCAAACACCTCCCTTCTAGGCCCCAAGTTTTCAGAGTCAAACATTTCACACAGCCATCTCCACCCCTCCCTCTCCCTCACTCCTCAAGCTGGCGCAATCTGGCTTCCTCTGCACCTTCTCAAAGTGACTCAGGACCTCTCGACCATCCCTGTGCCAAGTCCAATGCCATCTTTCAGCTCTCATCTGCTGTGCTTTCCTCCCTTCTCAAGCTGGAACAAAGAAAAAGTGCTTCTTGGTGATGCAGCGTGACTGAGGGGTGCTCACACAGACACTCTCATTAAATGCTGGTGAAGGAGTAAAATATCTGTGACTCTGGGTGGTAATTTGACCATGAGTACTTGAGATGTGAACTTCTTACAATCTAATAGTAATAAAGTGAAGGAGAGAAGGTTCTGAAAAGGGGGAACCATGGGCTGGACTCTGCTCCAATGCTGACTCATCTTTAGTTTCTGTTTCTTTACTGATAAAAAGGGTTAATTCTCCAAGGTTTTGGAGAATTACAGGAATTAAGTGAGGAACCTTTGCAGCAAATATAGTAATGATTAAGGAAACCATCTTCTCACAGGTCATATGTTTGTTCCTAGAAAGACATTGGTGGTTCTTGCCCTCTTTGTAAAAGCTGAAACAACCTTCCCCCAAGGGTCAGGGCAGGAACAGGTCAGGAGATCCAGTCTCACAGATGGAAAAGCACCACAGAGAGGGAAGGAACCCAGCCGAGGTCACGTGGTGATCTGGGAGCAGGGACGGAAGCAGAACAGAGTCTCTGGATTCTCAGGCTAGTCCTGCTCCACCAGCCCAGCTGGGTCCCTAACCGGACACTTCTCTTCCCAGGACTTGTGCTCAGACTCTGCCAGCTTAACACAAGGGAACGATGACAACAGCTCACTGCTGTGCTCCTAACAACAGCTGCCCCCAACTGCAACCAGCCCTGCTGGATGTGGCCAGAGGCACAAGCTCAGCAAAGAAGGTACACGTGGATGCAGCCGTGTTCGGAGGAGTCCCATCTTGGGTTTGCTGCGAAGGCAGAGGCTGGGAAACAGGTGGGTAAAGTCAAACCCATTTACTCACTACCAAGGGAACAAAGCTGTAGGGCTATAGCTCAGCCTGTACCTCAGAAAAGCAAAATGGCCAGAGCACTTGGAGTAAAGCTCACACCCACACCGAAAGCCTCAACCTAGCTCTATCACTGACTGCCCTTCATCGCCAAAGATAGGGTGGCCTCTGTGACACAATTCGCACAGGGCCTACGGCACAAAGGCATGAACGCTACACAGAATGAAGTAAGCTGTCAAGTGTCACCGCACATCCAGAGGAAGACGACGGAGGCCTGGGAGGAGCAGGAGACCGGGATGGATGCGGCTCACCATGCACGCTGACGAGCAAGTGTAGACAGGCTGTATCTCCAATGAACGGATGGTGCCTTTGTAAAATAAAAGCACACAGAAATGCTGACTCCCACCTGTCTAAATGTGCACACAGAGGAAATTCTTCTCCATCTGACATGCCATCCCTGGCCACCACGGACCAGCAACAACGGCTCTCCAGATCCATCACTGTCTCTGCACGCAGGGTCGCCAGACAGCCTGGCAGCACGGCACGGAGGAGGGATGAGTCATCACGAAAAATGATCATCCCTCCATGCCAGGCTGCAATCTGATCTCAACCTCCGGGAGGGCAGCACTCTCCAAATCCCTGTGAGAGGGAAAAAAGCAAAGCGGAGAAGGTCCAGAAGGAACGCTACCTAGCCAAGGAGAAAACTCAGGAGGAAGGAAAGAAGGGCACCAGTGCCATGAGACCTCCGCTGGGCCCATGGCAGTCTGTCCTCCCTCGAGAGGTGGCTACACCATTTCCAAATAAAGAACCTGAGATTCGCTGAGGCTACAGAGCTTCTGCTGGCTGGCGAGGAGCGGAGAAAGGGCAAGACCTCAGCCTCTGTGACTGAGAGCATGTGAAAACGCCCTGCCCCAGCCGGCCAAGACCTCCAGGTCTTCCCTGGCCCCCCTAGTTCTGGGGCCCACATTTCCACAGTGAAATAGTGCCGCCCATCCCTGCAGGCCCTGGGTCTTGGCTGGGAGGGCTGGAACAGCCCTGCTGCGTCACCGCAGCAGCGCCCATGAATGCCAGGGTTTGTGCTGGCTAGAATCCAGGAGATTCATCAGGCCCAGAACTCACCCCCCAGCCTGTGCTCCTCTTAGAATAAGGATGCCCGGTGGGCTTTGCAATTGATATGGCTTGGCTGTTTCCGCACCCAAATCTCATCTTGAACTGTAGGTCCCATAATCCCCACATGTTGTGGGCAGGACCCGGTGGGAGGTGATTGAATCATGGGGGTGGGTTTTTCTCATGCTGTTCTCATGGCAGTGAGTGAGTCTCACCAGAAATGATGGTTTTATAAAAAGGCAGTTCCCTTGCACATGGTCTCTTGCCTGCCACCATGTAAGATGCACCTTTGATCCTCCTTCCCCTTCGGCCATGATTGTGAGGCCTCCCGAGCCATGCGGAACTGAGTCCACTAAACCTCTTTTTCTTTATAAATTACCCAGTCTACGGTATATCTTCAGAGCAGTATGAAAATGGACTGATCCAGTGATGCTGACACAACACCGTGTGGGCGCTATGTCTGCCGTCACACAACGCCAACACTCTTGCAAGTGTGCCTCGCTCTGAAGCGTGGGTGACCCCAGGTCCTCACTCACTCCTCTCCTGGCCACTATTCAGTGCCTCCTATGTCCTCATCCTTGCCTATGGAGGCAGAAGCTCTTCCCCTGTCCTCTCCTCCCCTTATCTGTGAAGACAGAGCTTTGGCTGAGCCCAAGGCTGCCCAGCAGGAGAATGCGTTGCCCACCTCCTCTGCAGAGAGGGTCGCCTGGCACATGTTAGACACACCTGGTCTCAGATACCATGATACAAGTCAGCATAACTTGGGCCTCCAATTCTTAAAATGAAGTTGCTCCCTGTTGCATCCACAAGCTAGAACACACGAGGTGCACCTGGGTTCCTTCCAACTCTGCAGTCATGACAACACAGCAAGAGACAGAAACCACACACCAAGAATGGCAGGCCACCCAGAGCCCAGGCCACGGAGGGCCTCACAGAGCCCAGCCCTCCCATCTTGGAACGGTGATGTCAACAAGAGCATCTGACCTTATGAAATAAAGCTGGTGGGTCTGGGAAGCTCTGTGTTTCCATGGCTTACCCTTTCCCCCAGGTTCAACTCTTCCTCTTGGCACATGGCTCTCTGTATGCCCCACACCGTCCCCTCAGCTGTGAGCTGGGATTCCAAAAGCCTCCATGGCACGTCTCCTGTGGGTCTCACACAGAAGTCTGTCTGCTCCCCGCAAACGCCAGACTGTTTTTCTTCCAATGCGATCACTCCATCTCCCAGGACCACAGGCAGCATACAACCCCATGGGGTCCCTCTGGGCACCTTCTCCACTGCTCACACTGCACCCTGTTGCTCTGTGACAGCCTGTGACATGCCCACAGTGGGCGCCACTCTTCCATCCCCAAGCCCCACAGCCATCTCCTACAAAACACCCACAATCACAAAGGGCCCAGTTCCTCTCTGACCAACACAGGGCAAACATGATACTTAAAAAGTAGAAACCTAACAACAAAAGAATAGTCCTCCTAGACAGGACTACCAAGAAACTAATCTTTTAAATTAAAGAATAAAAACATGAGCGACAACAGGTCAGTACATATAAAGCCAGTAGAACAGAGTTAAAAGTGTCTTAGAAGAAGATTGAGAGTCAAATGCATTAGCTGGAAAATAAATGAAAATGTTCAAAGAAGCACTCAGGAAACTATTAAAATAATAGCATTAACTTGAAGAAAAAGAGAATTATAATTATAATGTACGCTAAAATGAGAAATTAATAGTAAAATTATAAATGATCAATATAACTGAAAGCTATTTTGGAGAAAAAATTAGACAAATGTGACTAAAATGCTGAAGTAAGTATTTGAAATAAAGGGAACACAGTAACAGATAAAATGACTGAAAAACTAGGCCCGGCATGGTGGCCTACACCTGTAATCCTAGCACTTTGGGAGGCCATGGCAGGAAGATCGCTTGAGGCCAAGAAGTTTGAGACCAGCTTGAGTATCTAAGCAAGACCCCAGTCCCTAAAAAAATTTTTTAAATTAGCTAGATGTGTTGGCACATGCCTGTAGTCCCAGCTACTTGGGAGACTGAGGTGGAAGGATCGCTTGAGCCCAGTAGTTCAAGGCTGCGGTGAGCTGAGATCAACATCCAACAGAGTGTGGCTCTGTTTCTAAAAAAAAAAATAATAAAAATAAAAATTAAATTAAATTTAAAATTTTAAAAGACTGAAAATGACAAGAACACAACATATATATTACATACATACGTGTGTGTATATATAACATATATACATTTTTACCTATATACCTAAAAACTTGCTTAAAATTGACTGTTTCCTAAGAAAAAACCATTGGTGTATAAGAAAATGTGTATAAAATCAATAACCATGGAAGAAATTATATAGACCCTAAAAAATCAGTCTCCAAAATAGACTCCAGGCTTAGCGGCTTTGATAGATGAATTTTATCAAAGGTAGAATTCTATCAAAGGCTGATAACATTTGCATTTCTAAACAGAGGACAGGAAAATCTGTTATTTAAATAAAGGATAGAAAAACATGGGAAGATTCTCAAATCATGTTATGAAAGCAAGCTATATATTACCAAAATCATATAAAAATTAGAAAAAAAAGAATCTTATAGAGCAATATCACCCTAGCCATAACCCTCACGATAACCCTAACACTAACCCTAATCCTAACCTTTACAATAACTTGAACACTAACAGTAACCCCAACCCTTATGCTAGCCTTAACTCTAGCCCTAACCCTATTATTAACCCTTATTCTAGTCCCAGTAAGATACTGGGAGCATATTATAATTGGAAGAGCTATGGCTTAACAGTATTTATTCCAAGAATCAACACTTGGAATGTCAGGAACAGAATTCACTCCATTGAGAGACAAAAGCAGGAATCACATGACCGCCTAAATAGTAGCAATGAACACATTTAGTGAAATGCAGCTTTCATTTTCGATTTTAAAAAACACATAACTTAATAAATAGGAATAGAAGAAAACTTCTGTAGCTTAATGAAGAATATTTACCAGATAGCTACGGCAAGCAAACTTCATGGTGAATGCATTTGGGTCAGGGTAAAAAT